TACTATATAGTTAAGCAGCTTCTTAATTAAAAGATCCCTATACTTACTATTCTTTTTACTAATAGCGCTAATATATATACTAATATTATAAACCCTCTTAATAAAGCTTAAACTTATTATATTAACCTCTATTATAAGTAGATTATTTAAGAAGCTATTTATAATAAAATTATTATAATCTATTAAATTAAAAGTAATAAGATACTTACTAATAGCTTTATAAAAAGCCTTAGCTTTTATAAGTATACTAAGTTTATTAAAATACTAAGATTAATAGAAAGTTTTAATTAAGTATAGAAAGATAGAATAGAAGATATTAACTAGCCTAGAGAAGGATTAATCTAAGCCTTTTAAGCTAATTAGAGGCTAAGGATTATCTAGCGTTTTACTAAGTTATTAAATAGTTAAAAACTCCTTATTTTTAAGCTTTTTAGCTTAAAGAGCAATTTTAGCTAGAATAGCTAGTTTATATATTAGCTAGCGCTATAAAGCTTAAAGGGGGGTGTTAATAAGCCTTACTACTTAGTTACTACTCCTATAGCTTACTAGTAAGTGCTAGAGGCTACTATATAGCCCTCTCTAGCGCCCTAACGTCTAGCTAGTTCTTCTCTATAGTATATTATAATTATCACTACATTCTTATAAGATTAGTTTTAGTAGGTTCTATTTTATTCTAATATTATCTATATAATTACTAATAGTATTATTAGATATTAATAAGATCTTAGAGCTATTTATTACTTCTAACTAAAAATAAGTTTATCTACTTATATCTAACTAATCCTATATATATTTCTATCTCTCTATAGAATAGTTTTTAGCTTAGTTATAAATATATAAAACTATATATATAGAGTTAATATAATACTAGCGTTTTAGTATTAATATATAGAGTTAGTAAACTAAATACCTTTATATAAGGCTTTATAGCCTTATATAGGGGTTTTAGCTTTATTTAGTTCTATATTTTTAAGTTTTTAAATAATATTATATTGCTCTTAGTTATATACTCCTTTATAATTTATAACACTTTATAATCTTCTAATTATAACTAGTTAACTCTAATTAAACTTAGAATTATTCTACTAAATAATTATAGAGAAGTTTAAGCTTAAGTAGATAAATAATATAATTATAACTTTTCTTTTTAATTTATACTAATTAAAAATATCTTTATTAACTCTAAAATAACACTTTTACCTCTAAGATCTCTATTATAAAGTCTATATAGAGTTTACTTCTAAATTACTATAGTGAATTCTTAAGCTCTTCTTTAACTACTACTTAGCTAATCTAAAACTCCTTACTTATTTATAAACTAAGGGGTTTATAATCTTATAATATAGTCTCTAAAATATCTAAAAAGTATATTAGTTATAATATTATTAAAGTCTTAAGTAATCCTAAATAGTATTTCATAAAGCTATTTAATACTTATAATCTATAGATAAAGTTACTTAACTTATATTAAACTTTAAGTAAGAATTCTTCTATATATTTATATACTAGTGAGGCTATATTATTAGCTAAGACGTCCTTTATAAAGCATACTATATAGTCTTCCCTAAGTAAGTTTAAGCCTAATTAAAAGAGATATAATATTAGTAGAAAAGCTAGATTACTTTAAGCCCTAACTTTATTTAGTTATTTAATATTTATAATAAATTACTTCTATTTAGAATTAAGATATATACTATAATTAATATATACTCCTACTATATTATATAGTTTTATATAGGGTTTTCTATATATACTATATAGTTTATACTTACTTAATATCTTATAGTTTTATAATAATAAGGTGTTATACCTTATATAATATAGTTAGATTATAGAGTTAAAACAGCTTTAACTATTAGTAGTTAGTAGTATTTATTATAAGAGCGTATAAAAGAAGTATAGTCTTATTTAGGTAAAGCTATCCTAATTAGCTTCTATAATTATTAGACTTTTAGTAAAAATATTTATAACATTAAGATTAAAACTTAGTAGAATTAGCTATATTAATCTTAATCTACTTCTTAATATATATATTTTATATTTAAGCTATATATTACTATATCTAATAAGTCTAAGAATATTTATTTTAATTATAAATATTAAAGCTTTTCTACTTAAATTCCCTAGGAGATAAGATTATACTTTTATTTATTTTTATACCTCTTATCTATAAAGACTTCACTAACTTTATATATATCTAGAATAACTATTATATTTAATTATAAGTAAGTTAACTTTATATTATTTATAGTTAGCCTTAGATAATATATTACTACCTTAAGCCTAAAAAAGGATAGGACTTTATATAACTTATTAACTAAGCTAAACTTTAAGAGATATTAAGTATTCTATAATAAAAAGAGTTAGATCTAAATTAATTCCTACTATAATTAATAATAGATATATATAAGAGGATTATTTTATTAACTCTAAGTTTTCTAGATATTATAAACTTCTATAAATTAAAATACCTAAGTATTAAGGTATATAACTTTCTATAGTAATAATTAGATTATTATATTACTTTAAAATAAGAGCTAGTATTTAGATTACTACTAAAATAGGATAGTAAAGTCTAATAAGTAAAAGAACATTTTTATTAGTTTAGGATTAATATTAAGTAAATTAAAATAATACTAATTAAGGATATTATAGATATTATAAAATAAGTTTTTTACTATTTATTTTATATAGATAGAATTATTCTATAGTAGAATATCTTTAGTTTCCTTAAAATAAGTTATATTAGTATTACTATATTTTATTATAAGCTCTTCTTATTAAACCTCTTTAATTTTAGCTATTTTAATATCTTTAAGTTTCTTAACTTTTAAATATATATACTTCTAAGAAGTAGCTCTTTTTACTTATTATTCTATTATATCTTTTACTTTTTATATAAACTTTTATTTAGTTTAAGTTTAAAGTTAAGATTTAATATTAGGATTAATCTTAAGAGAGAGTTTTTTTATAAGTTACTATTTTAACTAAAACTTCTTTAAAACTTATAGATTAAGATTAATTAGCTTAACTTAGCTCTCTAATATAAATATAATTATATATATACTTTTATTAAAAGAGAGGCTAATAAGTTTAAGAAATAAGCTAATATCTATAGTATTATATATAGATCTATAGAACTCTAAAATATCTCTATTTATAGGATTCTTTAAGTTAATAAATATTACTTTTTAGTTTTAATCTAAAAATTACTTCTCTATAGTAAACTCTATAATAATATAGCCTATTATATCCTTATAAGATAAATACTTTAATATCTAAAAGAATTATACTTTATTATTAAATTTCTTTACTAGTTAAGTATAAGTATATATCTTAACTAGTAGTCTATTAATATCTATCTTATAGAATAAAGTAATATAAAGATAGATATTAATATTAATAGTTAGGTTTAGGATTAATTTAGCTTATCTTATTTTAATATTATTAATACGCTCTATTAAGCTTTAAATAATAGTAGCAAAAAACTTTATAGTATCTAAAGTATAAAGTTTAGATTTAGTAGGGTTTATAATCTTTATAAATAAGTCCTATTAGAACTTTATTAACTTTAGTATTAATATAAAACCCTTAAATTTATCTATATAAGTTAAGTTAATAGTTTCTAGCTTTAAAACTATAGAAAGGTTAGTACTATAATATATATATACTACCTAAATACTAACTAACTTAGTAGTAAAATAATTAAATCTAACCCTCTTAAGGTAATAAGTAGATATATTAATATAGCTATAGATAAGATATAATAGATTTATATAATTCTACACCTATATAATTCTATATAGAATTATATAGAAGTATAGAATATTTAATATATATACTCGCTTAGCTATACGCCTAAATCTATATCTATATTTAATTATTTATAGCTAACTTAGGTTTACATAGTGGTGTAGCTATAGCCTTAGGGTTTACTTATATTAGGTAATTTCTGAATTTTAACCTAGTAAGCCCTACAGGCTGCCATACTACTTACTTAAGCAGGAAACTAGGCCAGAATTTCATGGTATCTAATTAACTAGATTCCCTGTTTTCTAGGTAATATCATTAGATGTGAAAACAGCGCTAATTTACACCTCCTTAGCTTTAAAGGGATGTTATGCAGGTGAGTAGGTCCCTACCTATAGGCGTAGTAGGCAGGCGTAGTAGGCAGGCATAGTAGGCAGGCGTAGTAAGCAGGCGTGGTAGGCAGGCGTGGTAGGCAGGCGTAGTAAGCAGGCGTAATAAGCAGGCGTGGTAGGCAGGCGTAGTAGGGAGACATAGTAGGGAGACGTAGTAGGGAGACGTAGTAGGGAGACGTGGTAGGGAGACGTGGTAGAGAGATGTGGTAGGCAGACGTGGTAGGGTGGTAGGCAGGCAGAGTAAGAAGGCAGATACGGCATGCAGCCAGTAACATCGACACCTTCCGCTTCAGACACCCTGCGTCAACGCGTCAAGAAGGTCCCCACCGACTGATCTTGGTGCTTTTTTTTCGTGCTTCTCACACTCACCTCTCGCACCACTTCTCTCCAGACTGAATATTAAGGTTGCGTCTCGTCGTCACCCTGGCAGACGGCAAACGGCAGGCCCTCGTCCAGACCCACACCTCCTGCCAGATCGTCTCTTTCTCCTCACCCAAGATGCCTTCCGTCATCAATCCCACCGGTAAGCAAATAATGAACTTCGTTCCTTCTGCACCTGGCTTTCGCCCTGCTTTCCATGTACAGTTCAACGCTGACACAGGCAACCGCTACACAGCCTCCAAGCCGAAGCCGAAGTTCCGACAAACTACCCTTGCGAGCGCTTTCGGCACCTCCACTACCAGCCGCCCCTCTCTGCCCAAGACCAAGCCAAGGATCAAGCCCGCCAACGCCGTCTAGAACCCGGCGAGCGACAGACCCAACACCGAAGCCTCCGCTGACGCAGTCCCCGCCGATGCAGCTTTCCCCGAGATCATGAACGGCCGCGCTGGCGTTCACCCCGACCAGGGCCTGCTGATCATGTACAAAGTCCGCGATACCGGACCCCGCGACGGCAACAACGAGACGTGGAAGCTAGCGAAGCGCATCGACCCCGTTGTCGTCAGCACATACTGGGACAAGGTCACGGCCAGAACCGGCATGACGCAGCGCGCCTGGCTCTCCCGCGTGCGTTTCAAGTACCGTGTCGAGCTCGCCAAGTTGGAGAAACAAAAGGTCACTGCCGCCGCCACCAAGAAGCGCAAGCGCCGTATTTCCGAGGAAGACGAGGACAGCGACTACAAGCCGCCGGGCGCTTGATCGACAGCGGGGCACATGTGTTCGCGGATCATCCAGGAGGGCGCTTTTCTGTCGCAAATCATGATGCTCGCAGTGACGAGCAGCTGAACGGACGCCTTTTCTGGGTCGGGTTTTGCGTGCTACTTTACTTTCCACGCGGTTGTGTTGGTTGGTATTTGAGCAAGGCCACAAGTTGGAAGATGCTCCGCGTCCATGTTGAGATATGCAGTCAAGAGTTCAGTCACACAATCATGTCATCTCCACCCACAGCAATGAGTTTCTTACGATATCAGAGAACAGTCCATTTTGAGCGGCGTGAGCTCAGCATTCGTGTTTTCTTGCATGACGTCAATCAAGGCGACTGTTTGCGAGAGCTAGATCAGCCAAGACTAGCTCCAAGTAATGAGGATATGGGTAAAGCGCTAATAGGAGGATGAAGCATCCTGATAGATGATGACGATGACCTGAACACTATCTGCGAAAAGGTTCCTGAAGCATCCTGCATCGCATCGCAGCCCATGGTGACCATGTATCTCATGCACAAATGGAACAAGGCGCGTCTTTTTGGAAGAAGTAATTGATTATTATGATGAGCCACCAGAGAAGATGGTGAAGGATCCAATAGTCCAGCCGCTGCTATCAATATTCTCCCCTGCACCTCCGCTTTCAACCTTTCAGGATGGCCTTCAGCAAGCGCAATAAGCCAAGCACAGCAAAACGCCGTACCCGCAAGCGAACACCCGAAAATTTCTGGCCAGATCGAGGGTGGAGCTTAGTGCTCAGGCAATCTAGGAAGTCTTGATCATCACTTTAGATCGGATCAGCAGATGTTCATGATCGCTTGGAAAGTTAGGAAGCCTGACGGATAGAGCTCATGGTGCAACGGTCAGGTTATTGACTGAAAACAAGGGATTGATTTGACGCGAAAGCCATGGTGCTTCCAGTCATGCGCGTTCGAAAACGCAAACTTCACCTGGAAGTCAAACACGGTTGAAGATAGGCTGATGAGGGGCTTCAAGGATGCTGGGAGCTTCACGAGCCAGTTGTGTGTCAGGGACCCAATAGACGTGAAACCCATCAACAAAATGCAGCTTTAGAGGCAAGCTGCTCCTGGTTGAGGTCCGAATGATCTCCAACGTGCAGGTAGTACGCGAAAGGTCTCCAGAGTCTTGGGGCCGGTGAATCGCGTGAGCAATTGATAGTGTTCCTCCAGCTGTTTCTGTTGAGATTTGCGATGTCATCGTTAGATTAGCGGTGGATGATGGCCTGGCAAAGTATGGACATAGTTGGTCACCGGCTTCACCAAGTCTCGTTCGTGGTTGAAGTGCATGTGCTTGGCCTCTGAGTGAATGCCATTGCAATGTATATAAGGCAATAGATCCTGAAGTCCTGAACATTGGTGTGCACCGGCTTGGCTCCGTGCCGACAACCTCCTGTAAGCGTCCAGCCTCTTCCGTGAGACGATCGGAGAAACAGCAGTGCGCCAAGACGGGGGCCGGACATGATCGAGGCTATGGCAGCCGCCCAAGATGTGGCAAAGGATGTGCGTGTGGGAGGAAATCTCGTCGATAACTTCGTGCTTTAAGATGTTGAGAGTCTGGAAAGTAGTCTGCCGATGAGCCACATAAAAGTTGATTGTGTGTTTCAAAATGGTCGGATGGAAAGAGGAGGGTATTGTGTCCAAGGGAAGATGAAGGATGAGATACGCAGGGCAGCTATATATTTGGGAAGCGGGTGCTGAAGCCAATGCAATTGCCAGTTTGCCTTCTTGATTTTGGCATGCAATAGTTCGGTGGTCCTTTTCATCTTTAATGCGGTTTGATGTGGCGTCCTCATCTATCACTGGAAGCACCAAGCCACCACACTAAGACGGAGCCCTAAGACTCTGACTCTAAGGAAGCAGCAAGTCCTGTCCACTACAATTATCCACTGCGAGTAGTAGGTCAAGATGGGATGACGGCTGGTATATGCTTCGCTCAAAGCTTCACTCTTATTATCTATTAGAGAGGCTTATCCTCGATGTAGGGGTCTATTCCACTCTCTCAGGCACAATGCCTTTCACAAGCCTCCTGTCAAACTATGATTTTCTGCTATTAGTCAATTCTCAAGACTGCCAACTTTCTAAACACGATCTTTGTTTTTCTTGCTAAGTTTGGATACCTAGATCGAGATATTTAGCTGATTCTTTGAGAAGAAGGCTTTACGTTGTCTGACGTTATAGAATCTAGGTATCCCATCCCTCCCATATTCTAAGGCTAGTTATGGGACTTGCGTCATTCTTATTAATTACGTTCTCTTTTAAAGTGCTTCTGTGAAGTCTGATTTATGCTCACTCCGTCTATATAAGAACAGCATTAATTTACTCTTAAGTTTTGCTGGACACTAAAGATGCGTGAAGGAAATCCAAACCTTTTAATTTGATCTGAAGATCCTTATTCAACTAAGTTTAAATCTCATACTAAGTATGCTAATAACTTATTCTAGTCAGGTTACTGCTAACCCTTTCGAAGAAAAGAACAGCTCCTATTATAATTATAACAGTTAACACCTATCTTTCTGAGATCAGCATATTAAAATACATCTTAACGAAACCTATAGCAAAGGTTTTTAAGATTCTAGCCTTAGTTTCGTTAGTAATACCTTATAATAGCCTCTTAGCAGTATTAAAGGAACTCCTGCTTATAGTCTTAACTCAGCTTATCTCTAAATATTAGAGCTACGTTATTTGTATTACTTAGACTGTATGCAACTAACTAGCTACCTCAGCTGAAGTTTTAATTTGCCTACTACTTATAGACATAAAAAATATAACTAATTAGTTATAGTTGTGATAGAAGCTAGCGTATTTATGATGAGGTCTGCTTTATATATCTGCTGAGACTTTTTAGAGGTTAGAAACTATTATAGATATATATGCTTGTTTACTCTAGGATAACACCTTAATACTAAAAAGTATCTTAGTTATTCTCTCTTAGAAACTAGCTATAAAAACATATAATCTTATGCCTAGTTTATCTAAAATTTAGATTGTTAACAAAAGTATTATTAAAGTTATTAAGCTAGCATTTAATCTAAGAAGGGGTAGGCTTAGAGGATAGTTAGTAGTGCCCTCTTAACGCTTAATATAGACTAGGTTAAGGCTAAAATTTAGGCTAGAAAGCAGCTTCTTTAAGGCTATAAATAAGTAATATAAAAGGGGGGCATTAAGGCTAGTAAAAGGAAACTATATTAGACGATAATATATATTAGATTTTATATCTAGATAGATTAATTAGTTATAGGTATCTATAAGCTTATTAATAAGGAGGGGTTTTAGGACTTAACTATAGAGTTTAAATAATATATATAGCTAAAAGAAAACCTCTAAAGGCTTTTTAAACTTAACTTTTTAAATCTAGATAACTTTATTATATTTAGCTAGAAACCTCTTAAGGCTTCTAAGACTTCTTCTTAACTATAGTAGTCCTCTAGATAACTTAGCTTATTTAGTGAGAAGTCCTCTAAAGCTTCTTAGAAGTTAGACTTAATTATAGATCTTAGATACTTTATTATAATTAGCTATAAGCTTTTAGGGGTTTCTAAGATCTAATAGTAGAATTTAGATAACTTAACCTTAATTAGCTAGAAACCCCTAAAAACTTCTAAGACTTAACTATTAAAGCTAGATAACCTAACTAATTTAGCTAGAAGCCTCTAAAGACTTTTATAACCTAAATAGAAACTAAATAAAATAAAATCTATTTCTTTATAATACTCTCCTAAAGATTACTTAAGAGAGGAAACGCTTTAAATCTTATATATATACTTACCTCTATATTTCTACTTAACCTTAAATAGATCCTTAAGTTTATATATAACTTATTAAGTTTATAACCTCTATAGAGCTTTTTACTTTTAAATATAGCTAATTAGATAGTTAAAGTAAACTATAAAATATTTTACTTTACTCTATATATTATATATAGTAAGTATAATTAGTAAATACTCCTCTATATCTCCCCTCTATTAAAGAAAAGGTATATAAACTATAGTAAATAAATAGGAAACTAGAGAATAGTTTAGATTTAATACGAATTATTATAGGTAGTATATATAGCCTTAATAGGGAAATAAGAGAATAATTAATATATATAGTATTTATAAAGTAAAGAAAGAAGATATAGAAGTAACTTAGTAATAAGAGTAGATAGATATAGCTATTTAGATATCTAGAAGGGAGAGTAATTAGAGCGTATATCTATATATAGCTAGAAGTAGACTTAAACACTATATTATATTAGTTAGAAAGAAACTAATATATTAATACTAACTAAATATAAAAAACAAATAGGAAAGAAGGCTATTTATATTATAAACTATATTATTTAACTAGTTAATAGTAATAAATAGTATTAAATATTATAAAATATAATAATAAGTAACTCTAATATTTTCTTATATAGCAGACTTTAGTAGAAATAAAGTATTTAAGGATATATAAATAGATTAAATAATATAAGGAAAAGGATAAATAAATAATTTATTATACTAAGAGTATTACTAACTCTATTTATAATTACTTAGTATATTATAGCTAATTATATAATAGCTTATCTACTATTAACTGCTATACTTAATTACCTCACTAAACTTATAGCTTAGATAAAGTAAATAGCTAATAGCTCTATAAGAAGTATTATAATATAAGAGGAAATAATATAGATAGTTTATATATATTAAGAAGAAGTAATCCTAACTTAAAATAAGATTGCTTGCTATCTCTATAAACTTATATAATTTCTTTATTATACTATTAATTAATATTCTTTATATATATATATATGCTTATTATAACTACTACTCTATTAGCTATATTATCTCTATTAAGTTAAGATTAAATATAGTATACTATATTAATTTAGATTAATTAAAACTATACTCTAACTATCTAATAATGCTTTTTCACCTCTAATATATAGTTATAGTTATATATAAGTTAAAATATCTTATTAAGTTTAGTATAATGCTAATATATTAAGGAG